TTTATTTCTATTAGCCTTGCTGCCTCCTCCTCCCACAGCTGCCACTACCTTTCTCAAAGATGAGAAATTAATGTGGTTTTGTGGCCACATGTAATTCTTTTGCTCATTCTGATTGCACTGAATTCCTATTTCACTGGTCATTTTTATAGGTTGAGAAGTTTTTATTAAATGGTTTAATTTACCTTGTGAAACTAAACGCCATCGCACTTTTGCCAGTACTTGTGGTTATGGCCTTGAAAACAGATCTTTGTTTGCAAGTCAGTCACATGTGAGTCACATCATGACAGGCTGAGAGAGCTGGGGTTGTTCAGCCTGGAGAAGAGAAGGCTGCGGGGAGACCTGATTGCGGCCTTTCAGTACCTAAAGGGGGGCTATAGGAAAGATGGGGACAGAATTTTTAGTAGGGACAGCTGTGACAGGACAAGGGGTAATGGTTTTAAACTAAAACAGGGTAGGTTTAGACTGGATATAAGGAAGAAATTCTTTACAATGAGGGTGGTGAAACACTGGCACGGGTTGCCCAGAGAGGTGGTGGAGGCCCCATCCCTGGAAACATTCAAGGCCAGGTTGGATGGGGCTCTGAGCAGCCTGATCTAGTTAGCGGTGTCCCTGCTCACTGCAGGGGGGTTGGGCTAGATGGCCTCTAAAGGTCCCTCCAACCCAAACCATTCTATGATTCTATGTCCCACTTCTCTAATGTTTTTTTGCCAAGACAGATTCCCCCAGCTGAGTTTTAAGCCTTCCAACCAGCAGCTAAAGTAGGAGAAAGTAAAGTTGTTGGAAGCATGAAAACTGAGGAATCATTTTCTTTGGGGGAAGAAAGGATAGATTTTGCCATAAAAAGCGTGCCTGGCTTTTCTACTAGAAACCTGCTAGAAGTACAAATTACTTCCTATGCTCTACCGATGAAAAATTTGTAAATGTAGGATGTTTGATTACCACACGTACAAGTCCAGAGAAATTCTTGTAAGAGGGATGTCTGCAAGATGTAAATGCTAAGCTATTTGCTCAGTCTTAAAACCAAAAGTGGGACTGCTCAGTAAAAGGGAATTACACGCTCTCAGCACCGCAAGCACGTTAAGATGGCCTTGACATTCCTAGAATTCTGGTTTGGGATGACAGGTATCTAAACAGCCTGTTTTATGCAGCTTTAGCTGTATCTAAATAATTACCTGCAATCACATTTCTTGGGTTTTTTTCTTGTAGCTTTAAAAGTTTTGTACGTACAACAATATTCTTAATATCTCCATCAAAATTATCTTGTGCAACAAAGCTTAGAGTAGAAATGGCAGAAATATATGCATGAAGGGCTTTAAAAATCTGATAGGTTTTTATTTGCCCTGTTCAGTTTCAGACGATGAATATGTATTGCAGTCAAAACCAAAAAATTAGATTGTGGCTATAAACCACATAGTTTTGCCCTAAATATACTTCCGGATGTCTTAGAGACACGGTGTGACTATAGGCTCTTCATGTAGAAGAGATGATTTACCAGGAGTAGGGAAAACACCAGGTAACAGAATTCTATCATTTCCTTTACAAAAGTAGCAATTACATTTGCTTGTCACTGTCACTTGTCCTAAAAAAAAATCAGGGCAAGCATTGCCTTGATTTTTGCAGGCTAAGTCAGCTGGTGTGGGGGACCTGGTGTCCATGCAAAGCATGTGTCAAGCGTCTTTATTTCAGACTAACTGCTGTCAGATGCTGTTGACAGCATGCCCAAGTAGCTGGAGTGTGTCTTCAAGTTTTGCCTCTTCTGAAAGGAATCTGCTTCATGGGCTCCAGGATTGTCTGGCGATACGAAATGTGGGGGGTGGGGTTGAAAGGGAGATCAGCTTTAAAAGCGCTCTCCAGATCCAAAGAAAAATGCTAATGCAGCCATACTTATATGCCCAAAGGAGATGAATATATGTGAAAAGGGAAAGTTGTCAATATTCTAAATTGGGGAAGACAAGTGATCTTGAGAGCTGGAACAAAGCTACTGGAGGATGTAGAAAAACAAGAGGTTTTGCAGTAATGAAAAGCAATGGTCTAAATTCATCCCAGGCAACTTCCATCCCTACCTAAGTGAATGGTTATGTAACCTTTATCAAATATATAAAGCAGATGCATGCGGCCACCCGATGGAAAAAGGATTTCACAGAGATTCCTTATTTAGCAAATACATTTTGGAAAATGTGATATACCAAATGCTGCCCCCAAGTCCAGTTTCTTCATCTGCACAGAAGTAGCCTTCTTTGAACACCTCCTCAGTTGCAGAAAGACAAGCCACGTCGTGCTCACAGCTCTGCTGCAATCCACTTCCAAAGGTGGCACTGATGAGTTGTGTTAGAGCCCTCCCTGGGCTAATTACCACAGATCATTCTGTCTTAGAGCTTTATGAGACAAAACGCTGCTGAAAGTTCATGTAGATTTAAAATAAAAAAGGTAAATTTCACTGCACAGATCTGATCAGGAGGATATTTGGAAAACTCTTTGCTTAGCATCACCTTCATTGCTGGAGCTGGTGGTTCTTGGTCCGCTTTGAAGTGTCCCTGGTGACCACATCAAATGTTCAAGCAGACTGGAGTCAATGTCCACTTTCCTTGGACAATCCACTTCTCTGCTTTTTCATGCAGTTTTTGTCTCGTGACTGCCATATTCTGTATATTTTGTTGTCTTATGGAACGCAGTCATTTTGGTTGATATTCCTTCAGCTTTACTATAATGTGTTTTTTCTAAATTCTGATTCACGGCAGTCACTGAATAGTCAAATGACTGGATAGTTCTCATTTTACCTACTCAGTCTGGTAATGTTTTAAGACTGTCTTTTATACCAGCAACATTTTTACCGGAGACATTTTTTCACTATTAGTGGTATTATAATGAAGAGATGAGAAAAAAAACCAAACCACCCTGCATGCAGCAGAACCTCTAGCGTGTATGTCTCAGAATTCAAAAATTATTATTTTTTTAAAATCAGTGCTTCTAGAAAAATGTAGTAGAGTAGACCAGGGAACACCACACTTGCCTTTATGATAATCAGATTTAAGCTCACAGATGTTTGTTGGTGGTGCAAAATAACAACACAAAAACTAGAAATCATGCATAAAAACTAAGTGAGCTAATGCAGTAAGTTCATAAGAAACATTTCCAAAATGAAATATGGATATTGACCAAAGACAGACTAGCTGTCTGCATAAATCCTGCTGTCTTTGCTGAGCCAGGAATTAATTCATTCTGTGTTCCTCCCAACAGCATAATGTCTGGAGCTGTTACAACCTGCCTCCAGCCAGCACTACATACCTTGCATTGATGGCGGACAATATATATGCAGGCATGGCAGGGTGTAATCTCTCATCTTTGCTTATCTGTGGCTATCACATGGTGGGCAGAGGTGGTTGAACGTGTTTCCATTTGCTAAATACAGTAGTGCCAGAAAGTGGAATGGAAGAAGGGTACCAGAAGTAGAACGAAAAATCAGGGTGGAAGGAGCAGGATATGTCTGGATTATTCTCCACGGTTTTTGCAGAATACTTGTAGTTTGCTTAGCAAATGTGTTTACTGTGTATTTTTAACAATAATGAGAAAACTTACCTGGATAATTCTAAAAGGTCCATGATTGCTGCCTACTTTGAGAGGAAGCCAAGGAAGAGCTTTCTTCTACCTTACTATCTATTTTAGTAGTTAGTCAACAAGTTAGTCAATGAGTGAATGACAAAGCAGCCTTAAAAATATCCATATCCGATTCTGTGTTCACCACACATTTGAAGAACTTCTACTTTGAAGAACTCTGACTCCAGCCATGACATGTGAGTGAAACAGAGCTAAGGAATATAGTGAACATACTGTTCCCAGAACAGCCACAAAGCTGAGTAACCTCTAAAAAACCGTCAGGGCTACCTAGTGGCTGTTAAGTTTTTAGGTAAAAACATCGGGGCTGAACGGGACTAAACCTGTGTGCTCGAGCTTCAGAGCCAAACACCTCGGTGACATGTGGCCACCTGGGGAATTTAGACCAAGCTGTCGAAGCAGCAGCCTGTTGAAGAAGCTTAGAAAACCTGTCCGTGTCCCCGAGGTTGCTCCGTAGCCTTGAGGGGATCTTCCTCTTCCAGCGAGGCGGTCTCTCGGTCTCTTTCGCTAGGGAAGTCTGCAGCTGCCCGTAATGCAAAGGGGTGGGGTGGGGTGTGGGGGGGAAGTCAGTCACCCCAAATCTTGCAGTGCTTACTCGGAGGATTTCCTGCCCCTGCTTGCAGCGACTGCCTCCTGGTCAAGTTGCGGCTGGCTTTCTGTAGGGAGGAGCTGTGGAGTGCAGGTGGCTGCTACTCCGTGGGCAAGTACTTCAACAGAAGGGCTGGGCGTCCCCCTGCCCAAACACTGCAGTGCTTTCCTCTGGAGGGTGACCCTCCTGCCGTCCCCCTTTGTGTCAACATCTAGGTGGTGACCCTTCACAGTCCTTGGAGCATGGGCCTTGCTGTCCTCTCAAGCGCAGAGCCTTGCGGTTGAGGCCCTCTGAGAGCTGAGACCTGGGCAGCAGCCACTGTGCCCAGGACACTTCCCTCCCCGAGCCTGTCACCAGCCACGTGTTCAAAGCAACACAAAAAGCCTTTCTCAAAGGCAGTTTGTGCATTTACTGCTGAGATATAAGGCCATGAGAATAAAATGTTAAAATCACCCGAGCCTATACATGCATCTTGTCTGAACTACCTTTTCCTATGGCCTGAGGGAAAAAAAGGAGGCTGAGGGGAGACCTTATCACTCCCTACAACTGCCTGAAAGGAGGGGGTAGTGAGGTGAGGGTCTGTCTCTTCTCCCAGGTAACAAGCGATAGGACAAGAAGAAATGGCCTCAAGTTGCACCAGGGGAGGATTAGGTTGGATATTAGGAAAAATTTCTTCAGTGTAAAGGTTGTCAAGCATTGGAACGGGCTGCCCAGGGAAAGGGTTGAGTCCCCGTCCCTGGAGGTGACGAGGTGCTTAGGGACGGGGTTTGGTGGTGGGGTGGCAGGGTTAGGGTGACGGTTGGACTCGATGATCTCAAAGGTCTTTTCCAACCAAAGCGATTCTGTGATTCTATGGAAATCCCTAGAGATGCTCCGACAGTCGTCCTTTGTTCCGATGTCCCGTTTCTGGGGCTGTGAGGTGGCTCAGCCCCGAGGTGGTGTCTCCTGGGTTTAGGACAGTTTAGGACTGGGAGTGAAATTTGTTTTAAAAGGTCGGCGTTTTCCCCCGCAAGCCGTGCGTGCGACGGTGGCTCCGTTTCTGAGAGAAAGCGTGAGAGCACCTTTTCTTTGAAGTGAAACCTTGGCCCCTGGGTTTGGTGGGTCTCCAGCGAGCACACCGCGGCCGGCACGCCACACCCTGCGGGTTGTCCCCTCAGCGCGCCCAGGCCGGTGGCTGGGAACGCGGTTCCTACACCGCTGAGGAGCTACAGCCCCTTTCAAGTCAAAGTTTCCAGGAATGTGTAAGAATTTAAATGAGTAGTATTGAAAAATGTTTTGCTGCCATACCTGGTGAGGGATGTCTGCGATTCACAGGAAAAACGGCTATCGATAATGTCTCAGTGCTGTAACTACACCCCAACTGGGGTGGCTAACCCGGCTCTTCAGCACCAGTTAGGTATGACTCAACACCGGCGGAATATCTGTGTTTGTTGTAATCATTTTTCCTAGATCAAAAGTGAGACACTTGGTTAAGCTCTTGAAGAGGCATGGAGTACCTTGCAGTTAATAGGAGCGCTTAAGGTAATATGAATATGTAATTGTTATGGTTTAAAATGTTCATGGGCTTATGTAAAAGAAATGGTGTGATACTCTGACTTTCTGTCAGTTCTCTCAATTCTGAGAATGGGACTGTTGCGTGTTTTAATCTGTCTGTGTTTTTGAATGAGAAATTGAAAGGAAAAAGTGCCACGAATGTGCAAAAATTAGTGAATGCCATGATTCTTCAAAGTTTTGATGAGACTAGGTTTTCTTTAGAGTAGAACAATTTTAAAACAACTAGAGAGCAGAGGAAAAGGTCACCGTACCAATTTAATGACAGATTTTAATAAGAATTAAGCTTTACTATGTGCTATCATGGATGCTGTAATTGTAACTCAGGTGCATGTATCATTGAAGAGATCTTTCAGAAAGTTGTCTTTTTTTTTTTTTCTTTTTAAGTTGATACAAATATTCCCTTTCAGGGTGAAACTTTATGGAATTGGCTTCGGATACATGGAATTTTTTTCCCTCTGGAAAATCTAGGCAAAGATAACTCCAGCTGAATTCTGTCCTGAGTGGTAAAGCTCCAGAGGTCGATCGCAGGCTCAAGATGTGGATAAAATGGCTGGGAAAAGGGAGAAATGTAGCTGTTTATCATGGCGGAATGTGGTAGGAAAAACATTTGCACTTGACTATGCAGGCATATGTTTGTTGTTTTTGTCATGACTTGTGTGAGTGCATGCACAGAGCAGAGCCCAATTTTTGCTGTTGGGAATACCTTCCGCAAAACGGGAACTTTTTTCATTGTGAAGTCAGAGACAAGACGGAGTCTCCTCAGAGCAGTTCATGTGTATGGTTTTACACAGGGCTATAATATTTTTGCAGGTCTTCCATGTTGCCAAAAGGGCAAGTTATAAATGTAAATAGATAGAAAGAACACTGAATTTATAGAGAAGCAGGATTCTGAAGGAAGGCTTTCCTTCAGAACGTGGCAAAATAATGCTACTGCATCTACTGACAGGGGCAAAAACCTGCTTGACAGAGCATGTGTGAGACAGAACAGTGGAGTAAGGTAACACTGTAGTGGAACAGAGCTTATGAAAAACCAGTGATTTAGAGAAGTCATAAAGAAAATACCTGGTCATAAGTGGAGTCTATTCAGTCCCATCTTCTCTTTAAATTATTTCATTGTAATATTTTCATCTTCTCTAAAATTGAAACCTAGAGATTTTAAGAGCTACTGTCTGTCACAATTAGTGAAGAAAGTTAGAGCTTTTGTACAAGCACACATAAATCCCCGCTAGTGATTTCAAAGTTTTATGTCTTTTTATGCTCAGCATTCTTGCAGGGACTCATTCCTTCTTACAGCTAGGCAAGAAAAGACCTGCCTGGTAATTGGAGAGGAAGTTTGCAACGAGGGAGGAAGGAAGAGAAGGGGAAGAAGGAAGAAAGCAGGCATTGCAAGAAGCAGTGCGGATGACTCAATATATGGCACACTTCTGAGTCAGTTTGGTGAAGTAACACACAGCAGCCAGAAGTGTCATCTTTGACTGTTGTAGAAATTGGTGATCAGCTAAGATTCTTCACAACAGGATGGGGTTCTCCTGCTCGTCCTTCAGTTTGAATAATTGCATCTGTCCTTTCACAGTGCTGTAAAAACTGTGGTAGGCTGAATAGAAAAAAAAAAAAAAAAGCAGTAAGGCAGGCCAAGTTAAGGAACAACTTGTCAGAGGCACGCATCTAGTAGATCCTTCTCCAAACATGTTAGGAATGAGAAACCTACCAAAGAGTTCTGAGAGCCAATAGATCATTCAGGTATAAAAAAACCCCTGTGGGATGGGCTATGGGAAGATATGAACATAGCAAGGGGAAAAAAAAAAGATTTTTTGCATTTGTGTTCATCTTGGAAGAGCATGGATTTCAGTGCCAGTACCTTTTCTTATGGCTAATCTTCCATGGAAGGATCCAACTCAAATTGAGAAGTCAGTAGAAGGCAGTTGTAGAACAAAATGATCTGTAACAAAGCACCACGGCTGGCTGATACTTACTCTTGTGTTCTCTTGTTGTAAATGTCTCATTTATAGCAGTTTTGGGACCAAAAGATCAGAAGGTGATAAATGTTTTTTTATCCTCCCCAAGTGATCAAAAGAGAGCCAGGAAAATAAGAGACCAGTGATCCTGGTGTCTCCAGCCGGCAGCTGGGTAGAATTTGTTTTAAAGAATGGAACCAGTGGAAATGAAGATAAATTATGTAGGGAAGGAGGCAACAGTGACTTTCCTAAAGGGAAGTCATGGCTTTCAAGTACTAGAAGTGTGTTAGCATTGTACATGTGTACGTGAACACGTTGGGTACTGGAGACATGGTTGATACAATCTGCCTTAATTTCCAAAAGGCATTCAGCAGAGGCTGTCAATGAAGCCAGACTGCCATAATATATTTATTCTCACGTGTATAAATAAGTAGATAAAAGATAAATGCTCAGTTTTTCAGGTGGAGGAAGATCACTACTGGAGTCCCAAACAACTCTCTTCTGCTCAGCATGTATTTTTAATGATCTGGACAGAGGGAAACTGTTGCAGTGGCAGAATTTGCCAACAATGCAAAGCTATTCAAGCTAGAACACAGAAGTGTTAATTGCAAAGAGTGGCAGAAGGATGTCATGACAGTGAATGACTGGGTAATAACAGCAGAAGTTGTTTGTTGTAGATAAATGTACAGAAAATGTAAAATGAAAATTTACGGGCAAAATCCTAACATCATGTGCTCAGTGGCTGACTGAGTTTACCTGATTTTTAACACTCAATGATGAGATCTTGAGATTTTACTACCTAGGCCCATGGAAATATCACGTCAATACTCAGTAGTACTCAAAGAACGAATAGATTGTTAGAAATCATTAGGGAAAAAAAACAGGAAAAAAAATTGGTTTAGTTTATAAATCTGTAGTGTATCTATGTTTTGAGGACTGTATGCAAGTTCTGTTCTCCCCTCCTCACCTCAGATAGGCTGTAACATAACTGGAGATGGTACAGAAGAGGGTGGCAAAGATGGTCAGAAATATGAAATTGGATTCCATCTAAGGGACAGTTAGAGAGACTTGGGAAAGCAAGAACTGGAGAGGAGTGTGCTAGAGATGTAAAAAATCCTGGGTGTTTGACAAGCTGAGTAGGAAATGTTGACTCATTTTTTGTCTTCTGGTATAATAATTAGAAGCTGTCAGGTAAAACAAGCAGGTAACAGGCCCAAAACAAGCCAAAGACTTTTCCTATATTTCCTGTTTCCTGTGTTAACTGTGTAACTCCTGTATAAACTCTGTAATGCAAATGCTGACTTTAAATTCTGGGATTTTATATTGGAAACCACTAATTGAAGGTTTTATTTCCATTTCTGCAGGGAAACATGACAGCAAAAACATTGTTTTCATGTAATATCACAACAGCATTTCTGTCTTTTATTATTGCAGGTAAGTTTATAGGTGGCTATGGAAGTTCTTGTTCTGAAACATTTTTTCACAGAAGTAATACTAATTTTCTGTGAAAATGGCTGTAAATTACAAATTTATGTGCATGCTAATGAGTTCTTTTAAACAGTCCTAAAAGCAGGAACCTATAAAACATATGTGATATTTTATGTACTATCTTATCACAGAATCATTTAGGTTGGAAGGGAACTCTTGAGATCATCTAGTCCAACCTCCCTGACTGCCCCCAGGGTCAGCTAGAGTAGGTTGACCAATAGCGTGTCCATCTGGATTTTGAATATTTCCACAAATGGAGACTCCACGACCTCTCTGGGCAACTTGTTCCAGTGTTTGATCACTCTTACAAACACAAAAGTGTTTTCTTGTGTTCAGATGGAATTTTTTTGTGTTTCAATTTGAGCTCATTGCCTCTTGTCCTGTCAGTGGGAAATACTGACAAAAGTCTCGCTCTTTGATCTTCATTCCCTCCCATCAGGTATTTACACACATTGATAAGATCCACCCACACACTCCCCAAGCCTTCTCTTCTCCTGGCTGAACAGTCCCTGCTCTTTCATCCTCTCTTCATGTCAGAGAGGCTCCTCTCCCTTCATCATCTTTGTAACTGTGTGCTGGACTTTCTCCAGTAATTCCATGTCTCTCTTGTACTGGGGAGCCCAGAACTGGCTGCAGTACTCCAGATCTGTCCTCACCAGTGCTGTGTAGAGGGGAAGGATCACCTTCCTTGACCTGCTGGCAGGTCCTAATGCAACCCACGACACCGTTAGCCTTCTTTGCCATGAGGAAGCATTGGTGGCTTGTGGTCAGTTTGTTGTCTACCAGGACCTCAATGTTCTTCTCTGCAGAGCTGCTTTCCAGATGAATGATCTCCAGCATGTACTGGTGCTTGGGGTCATTCCTCACCAGATGCAGGACTCAGCATTTCCCTTTGTTGAACTTCCTGAGGTTCCTGTCAGCCCACTTCTCCAGCCTGTTGAGGCCCGTCTGGATGGCACCATGACCCTCTGGTGTATAATCTAATTAAATTAGTTGTAGTTTTAACTTTATGGAATGTGTCCTTAGGATTTTTTCGTATTGGAAAATATAGCCATTTGACAATAATATAACATCTAGATTTTTGTAAAATTGCTGGACTACTCAGTTGCAACTGCTTGTTTGTGCCCCTCAGCTGTCGACCAACAATCCAGTTCGTATTTAAAACATTTCAAATGGTTCAAAGGAGTTGCTGTCATAATCTTGTCATTCCACCTGGAATCTTGCAGCAGCGCCAGACTGTTAAAAGAAAAACTTAATGAATTTCCATTCTTTGGGTTTCTAGCAAGCCATTTGGTTGGAAATGGTTTGGTTTAAGTTTGGTTTGGGGTTCTTTGCCCATGCATGGACAAGCTGCAAAGTTCACCAATCTGTTGGATAATCTGTTTTTTGGCTAAGTAAGTAATTGCAAGGAAAGGTAATTATTTGGCTGTCCTCCCCCCAATAGCAGAGAGTTCTATTGTCTGTTTACTCATTTGTGTACCTCCGTGGAAATAATGGAGGACACTGGGGGCAGGGAGGGATTTCAGAGAAGCAGAGGCAAGAAGTGTGTAAAAAAAAAAAAAAAAAAAAAAAAAGACACTATTTCAGAATATTAGCATTTAGTGGCAGAGAAGGGTTCCTGCGGCTGCAACATTTCATAACCATCAAGGTTATTATGGGGCATTCAATACAGATACCTGAGCAATTAAATGTTTTGATAAGTAATTTGGAATAAATTTGTAGTGAGGTGGTGAGAACTGTTGATGATACAAAATTATCCCTTGGTGGTCAAAACTAATGCTCACAATGAGTTGTCTGGTTATTGAAAGGTTTAGTGATAGAATGTCAGTAAGTAAAATCAAATGGATGTGGCAGGGCATGAAAGGGTCATACACATACGGCAGAAACATGTATACTCTATGTGTGTGATGTGAGCATTAAATTAGTTAATACCCACTTGGGAAAAATGCTACTTTGACATCTCTGGATGCTCTCTGGAAGCCTTAGTTCTGTCATCAGCAGTGGTCAGAAAAGCAGAATTTTTGGGAAGCAGCAGAGCAGAAAACAGAAAGCTTCATTATGCTACTCTATAACCCCATGGTGAATGTGCATCAGTTTAGCTCTACAGTTCTGGTCATGCCACCTCAGAAAGACTGTGTCAGAAGAGTGTATCAGGAGATGAGTGACAGTGTTGTCTGATATGGGATGGCTTCCAGTGAGAAGTCATTAAATGAATGGAGGACTCTGAGGTAAAGAAAAGAGTTGACTGAAGCAGGATGTGATGGAGGTCTATAAAATTGTAAATACCATAGACTAGGCAGATAAGGGAAAGTTTACTTTGCCAGTTCTTTTAATAAGAAATACATGATACCCAGAGAAATTATAAAAGCCAGTGGGTGGTTTTTCATGCAGAACATAAGAGGAAAGAAAGGGATCAAAAGCAAAGTATTGCTCTACTTGTTGTGTCCTACTCTTTTTTTCTTACACATTTGCCACTGGTTGTTATCAGAGACAGGGTTTTGGGCTAGACAGACACTTACATGACTCTGTGTGGCTGTTCTTATATTCTGATGAAACATTTTAGATAAATATAATACTGATGCAGGAATGTGACCGGGGTATCCAGAGTTGGTGCCTTTTTTGTCAAATTGACAAAAAAAAAATAATTGTGGTGTTGCACTTTTCCTGTATGGATCTCCTTGGGTCAGGAGGAAAGAAAATGAGCTCACTGGTAAGTGCTTATAATAATTCCTCTCTAAATGCTCAGAAAATGAAGGGTGAGTTGAAATTTCCATAGCAAAATTAGTAATTCTGCAACAGCAACTTTAACTTCAGTGTCCTCTTAGGACATTTGGGTACTGTAAAACATAGTCTGTCTTGAAGAATTTGACTACAGTTAAGTGAAGTTAACAAATAAAGACATTAAATGTTAAATTTGTGTGTGCATGGGTGTGTTTGTGTACATGTGCATGAAACAAACTGGAGAAATACAAGTACTTCAGTAATTTGCATCTGAACTAAAACATACAAATGACTGCTGCAAACAAAGAGATTCTACGGAGTGTAAAGTTTGCATTCAAAAAATAGCATTTCATGTCAGTGGCATAACTATATCTGTATATGACTGAGTAGTATTCTCAACTGTAAAGATAAGGGATTATAATTGTATTTGTAGTAGATGACTTGAGAATGGAGGTGAAAACTCCAATGAACTTTGTAAATGTAATCAAGAAATGAGTTCAGTGTATCCTTTTATAGGGTCTGAGGTTTTCTTTGATGTTTATCTTTCTTTTAGAGAAATGTGAAGCGTATGATGTGATGTTGAGGCAAAGTCTCGTGCCTGATGGGCAGCCTCTTGCTATTAAATGTTCGCTGGAAAAGAGCTTGAAAAGTGGAGACTACAACTTAACATGGTATAGAGTTGGTAACCAGACAGCTGTGCCTAGAGACAAACTTTCTAGAATTCATCAGCAGAAGAATTTAATTTGGTTTCTTCCTGCAGTGTTAGAAGATTCTGGAGATTATGAATGTGTCATAAGGTGAAAGTTAAAAAAAAAATTACCTTGTTACAGAAATGAGTTGCAAAGGGAGTAACTTTTAGAAAGCAAGTAGAATTTGGGGGGTAAGAGAAATACTACTAAAGAAGGGAGAATACGTTCACAAAAACTAACTTTAGGTTGGGGAAACTAAGTTTAGTTTTGGGTTCTTTTTCCTAGTAGGCAAAAGTAAATCTATTAGAGAAACTGTAAACTTCTCATCCTCTCTTCTCCAAAAAGAATGCCATATATTTTTTGAGTTGGAAAATATGCCAATTAGGTTAATTTAATTATGTTATATTAATTGCAGGAATTTGACAGGCTGCAGGAAAATGTGTACAAAAGTCACAGTTTTTGAGAGGATTGATGGTTTATGCTTAAATGAGAAATTTGCTGTAGAGGAGGTGATATTCACGTCATCATCTGCAAAGGTTGTGTGTCCACACTTGGATTATTTCAGGAATGAGAAGAATATTCATCCTGTTCATTGGTATAAGGTGAGACTGCTGTGTTTTGCACTGTCTTATAACTGTCCATTATTTAAAATATAAATCACTGATGTTTGTGAATTGTAAGAGAAAACCTGAACATTTATTGTAAATGGGAGAAAAATTGGGAGAGGATTAAGACTTTTTATCTTTTAAAGGTGTGTACAGGTTTTCTGATTAATGGGGTAGACATTCTGCTTAGATGTAGGAGACGTTGACCCATGTATCCACCAGGTGGCATCTTTTTACCTGTTAGCAAAACACTGTCGGAAATTTCTTTTTGCAAAAAGAGTTTCAGCGTGTCATTTGTGAGAGATGGCATGTCCGTTATGTGCTCAATATTGTTCCAGTAAATAAATGCCATTTCATATTGCTTAAAGTTATTTAAAGGCTCTTTATGTTACAAGAACGTAGCGCTTTCTGCAGCTTTCCTGCCTCAGGCCCATGCAGTCTATGTGGTACCAAGAATATTTAAATACTTTTAACAGTTAAGTCTAATTACTAAACAGTTCTTCATTAATGAATACTTTTACAAATCCTGACACTTGCATTTCACTTCCTTATTTCCCTAAAATTGAAAGTTATTTTCCATAGGAAATGAACTGGAGTCTCTTTGAATTAAAAACTCTAAGCCAAAATTAAGTATGTTTTGCTTCTTACTCCGCCCTCCTTGCTCTTCCTCAGCATCTGCAAGGCATCCATCTGTATGCTATGGTCCATTGAAAGTTCAGATTGCATCAAAGAGAGACAAACCATGGGAAGAGATAGTGATATGAATTAACAGGGTTCTCTACATATGTTTAGGACTGCCGGCTGCTGGAAGGGAAAAGGTTTGCCTTCTCAAACAGTGATCTTATCATTTTCAATGTGACTGTACATGATCAAGGAAACTATACATGCGAAACAACATATACCTACAATGGAAAACAGTATAACATTTCACGAGACATCATTCTGACTGTAGAAGGTAAATAGATAATTTCACTGTGTTTGTGTTCATAACAATAACTCCAAATTTTTGTCCAAGTTTCTAAAGACTAGAGCTAAAAGACCCAATTTGTGGATAGACTTGCTTAAGGCTACTAGTTTTCACCTAAATATGAAGGAAAGTTATGCTGACTGAGAGCTTATATATTTTTGTGTGTTGTTGCCACTGTGTTGAAGATTGGTTCCCCTGTTCAAAGTTGCAGTATGTCAAAGCTTTGCTGCCCAAACCAGCTGCCAAGGACCCTAAACAGGTGCCTTTGTGCTTGGTAGGCACAATACTTCCTGCTGTAGCTGCACCCTCTATCCTGCCCATCTTACTTCTCTCTCTTTCACATTATCCTCTTGCTCCAAGCACAGTGAACTAAACCAGCCCAAATTGTAGCAGTATCTTGACTGTGTGTGATGTTTCCTTCAAACCTTAGTCTCTTCTGTTTTTGGTTTCAAGCTCCTCAGCACAAGAACTGCTGATCTCTGATAATGTGTGTCTAGCTCTGTAGACCCTGATTTATGTTGGGGGGCCACCAGCACAACAAAAAAATATAAAAGAAGGCCTAGCTGTAAAACATGAACTCCTTTGATAGCACAGCGTTATGAGATTGATATTGGATCACTGAAAAGGCTGTGCTGTATCAAGGTACGAAATGCCAATACTGTTTTTATGTTCCAGCTGATGAAAGACATTTTCAGGTTTACTAATAGATTGCATTACTATTTAGTGGTCTTTTTGTGCTTGCCTGTTTTGTCTGTGTGTGCATATATATGCATACTTATGTATGTATATATGTGCATATCTATATATATGATATGAATATGTATCATATTAATATGATGTCATATGTATATGATACGGATAAAGAAAATGAAGAACAGAAGGTCAGATCAGATGAAATGATCATTCTGGTCTTAACATTTTTCCTTAGATCTTCTCTCAGTGTAATTTCAGCTCCCACTATTCAGTAGAAGCAAAACCATATCACTCCTTTGCCGTAAATTACTGAAGGCAGCTCAGTAGTTTTTAAAGTCTCCAGCTGAGCAAGTCAATACTAAAAGGGGTGATTTGGGGTCCAAAGAGTAGTGCAGGTCCAGTGTTCAGAAGGGGAAGGATATATCTGGGGCAACCATGTGCTTCACTAGGGGGCTCAAAAGGGATGCTTTATGATGTCTTTTTGTTAATTTGTGCTCTTGGAGAAACTTCCTTGAACCTTGAATATCTGATAGGAGATGTTCTAAAATGCCCTACAGCTGGCTGAGACAGCTGGAAATGGGATGTGTGTTCAGTGAGGGACCCTCCAATTTGGGATTCATTTAGCCATACTGAGACATTTTCACTCTAGATGTCTAGATCTCCACCTGTTGATTACTCTCTCTTTGTAGCCTGTAGAAAGAAAGAAGCTTTCCAGATGTCATATATCTAGTCCTAACGTAAATATCTAAAAGGGGCCACTGGTGGTATAATTCCTTATAGACAGTGCTGTGGGAAGAATTGTAAGGCCTTTAACTAGAGTACAGAAGTTAAATTTCCCCTTTATAATAGTAAAAGTCTAAAGTAGATGAATTACACTCTTAAGTATTTGTCTCCAATTTGTGTCTGTGGGGTGCTGGGTGACAGACTATTCAGACTGTAGGGGGTAATACTGTAGATATTTACCCATACCCTTCTCAGCACCTGTGCATGAAATGTTACAGGATTCTTATGTCATGCAACAGCCAGGCCACCATGATTGGTAGAGATACCACCACCTGGTAGAGATTGTGGCACTACATTTTGAAAGAGGTGGAGCAAAGAATAATATAGCTGCAAGTCAGAAGTAGCAACTACCTGAGATACTCAGGTAGTTTCAGTATTGAGTGATGTCTGTTACTAAATTGCTGACAACCTTGTCCATAGGACAGGGGAGTGTTTTAGGTTGTACTTTGGTTATAGAACAGGCTGCATTTGCCCCAAGTTTTCTGAAAAGAACTTTCTTTCTTTTGGTTAGTGAGCCCACCAAAAAAACCCCCAGAAATATCTTACCCAAGAAACAACTCCATTGAAGTGGAACTTGGTAAGTAGTTTTCTCTATAAGAAAATACGATTTTGTAGCCTAGTGAAAATTTATAACTGTGGAGTGCCCACTTCTGTGGGGTTTTTTTTTGGTTGGTTGTTTTTTTTGTTTACAAAAGCTATTTCAGTGAAGAGCTCACTTTCTCTATGTTGATCTCCAGAAGAAGGAGTGTTTGGGGGTGAGAGTGAAAGAGACAAGGCATATTACTTCCAGAGTCCTTGGAAACCTGTATGGAAGTTTCTCAGATGCAAAGAAATTTATAGGGAACCCAAGAGATTCTCTGTCACACCTTTTGCTTTCCATCACTCTGGAAGAGATTCGAAGAACAGATCCGTCTTTGAATTTGCAGGGAAAGTGATGCCCCAGAGAGAGTCATCTTCTTCCTGAATTTAGCCTCTTCCATCCTACCAGTCTCTTTCTGAACCTGCAAATCACTGAGTGTATAGACCCTCTGTTAGAATAGCTTTTCTGAGAAAGGGTGTGGGACCATCCTTATCTGGTCTGTGTGGGAGTCTGTGAACAGAATTGTATAGATTTTAATTAGAGTATGGAAATTAACTTTTCACTTTGGAACACAATTTTATAGGCTCACAGGTTACAGTGGATTGCAATACAACAGGTGCTGATGGGTATGAGGTGTTTTGGACAGGCAACGGTGTGTATATTGATGTATTTCATATGAGCAGAATTTTTGCAAGTCCTTATGAGTAAGTATCTTTTCGGATTAGAAAATACCATGTTGGTAACCGAAGTGGAACTTTCTGCCTTTGACATTAAAATATTTGGCAACAATTTCCGCTTGCTTGAATAGCTTTCCTGTAAAAAAACTCTTAATGCTTGCCTCCTCCAATCCACTTTTTGCTTTGAAATAGAAACTTGAAACACAGTAAGCACATGGACTTCACATGTGATTGTGCTCTTTTTGGTCATTGTAAAAATCTGGTTTAATTTCCAACCTTGGGAAAAGGGGTTTTGTAGACTTACAGTCTTATAATTGTTACACAGTTTCTATTGAGCAGACTCTGGCCTGGCAGAGACCTCTTTCAGTTGAATCAAGCATGTCTAGGCACGTGATCTTCCAACCGTCTCTTCTGTTTGTGTTCTCCTTTCCCTTCACATCTGCCTCTCTGAAAGGTTGCAAGACATCAAACCTGTGCTTTACAGGAGAAATTGAGACTTCCAGATTTAGGAGCCTTGAGTTAGAGAAGTATAACTGACATCAGCTGAAGAGCTAATGGAAGACTTTGTTGAGGACATTTCTACTGAAGCTTAGTGGGGGCGCAGGAGAAAAGGGAGACAGATTTCCAATGATGAGTTGGGATTTGGGAGGAAAACAGACTTGGACTGACTAAAGCATGCGAAGGGAAACTGGGTGATAAGGTGAGGGTGAAAAGCACTAAATGGAGTTAGGAGAGAAGAAATTAGACGTGACTTGAAAAGGCAACTAAAATTGGAGCAGAAGGTAATCTGACTGGTTGGGAACTAAAAATTGCAGGTTTTTTGTCAGCCCTCATCTCATGGTGGTGCTATGAAGAAAAAATGTGATCACTTTTTTTAATTCTCAAGCACTATCTAGGAGCGAGAAACTGATGAAGAAATGAGAATGATACCTTCAAAGTAAGAATGTGAGAAATAAGTCCTCATCATAAAACAATGGGGGAAACAAAATGCTGAATTATTTGAGAAAATACTGTACTAAAGTACTACATTGTACTGTCATAAAGAATTGTAATGCCATAAACAATTGGGATATAATGCAGAGGCACACAGTCACTGAATTGATATCATAAAAGCAATGTTATTTTTTGTACTTACTAGCACTTAGGTGGTCGTCTTTGCAACCATTAGTCATTTGCATTAATGATGTTGATTCATTAATTCCTTGTTACAGTGTTCAAATTACTGTAACTTTTTGCTCATAATGCGATTTGTGTGGTCCTATATATGCCCTTTATGATATATTTCAAGCTTTTATTTTGCATTTTAAATGGTAACTACAATATGTTTTCAGGAAAGAGTAGTGCTTGGCTAAGTAGACTAGTTAGTTAATTTTGCATTTGAGATGTACTGTTAACGAGGTAGTGGTATCCCCTATTTTGCTGGTGGTTAAAAAGTTGTTTAGTTCACACATCAGTCACACATCGCAGTACACATGACTAAGCGAATGTGCAGCATAACAAGCATTTTTGTGCCCTTGTACAACATATGGGAGATACTCTTAATGGTGCAGCCTGACACTGATCCGTGGGGTGAAGCAGCAGTTTAGACTCTGCTCCCTGCAGCTGGAATGTGAGTTGGTGTTGTCTGCTGTGGGTCACCCCCTTTGATGACTTCCCTGTGCCACAGCTGCTTACCGCAAGATGACGCCCTTGTACCAGGGTCTCTTTTGATGTCATACCACATTGTGGAATTTCTCTGTCACCAAGCACTGGGGCTCTCTGCCTACTCTTAGAGGGGCTGGGAAGCCCATAATAAGGGTTTACTTAAGTTTGTAAGGCATATTTTTGTACTTTAGACTATAGAAACCTTTGGGGAAACACAGCTCCAGATAAGAACGTCTTGATGTTTTCACATGTCTGTGCTAAATGTCAGTAAGAGGCCTGACTGTTGTTTCCTTCATATAATGTAGTTACTTGTCTATACTGAAGTGTGATTGACATTTGCAGATGGGAACAACCATTGTCATGCTGCAACTGTTAGTGATGAAGCCATTCCAGAAAGGGCTGTGGTTTTATGGCTCTATTTGTCGCCTTTTGGATAGGGATGCAACTTCTTACGATGGACGCCCTATGCATTCTGTGAAACTAGTAATTTTGGAAGTGAATAGTGAAGATTATGAGCAACCATTTGTCTGTCAAGCTTCAAATGCCTTTGGGCAGGTTGCATCCTATATTATATTAAAACGCAGAGGTAAGAAATACTGTTATTTTTGAGGCCTGTGTTTGTCTTGACTTCCCTAGAGGGGGTTTTGATACCAAATGCTCATGTATCATATCTATAGAAGACAGATGGATTACAGTTTGCTGCATGTATGCATGTACCTGTGCATAGGGGAGGAGTTGCTGTAGTACTATATTTGTCACTATTAAAATAATGGGCAGTTGGAAGTGAAAAATATGATACTCAAATTTGTATTACATTTGTGTAGAAGATCAGTTTTGGACAAATACAGCATTTAAAAAAAAATCTTCCTATATTTTTATGCAGTTCCTGATGTGCGAAGATGGCTGACTGGAGGGCTTGTCTCTTTGTTAATTTTAACATTTATTACTTTAATAATCTACAAGATTTTCAAGATTGACTTGGTACTTTGGTACCGTAGTTCTGTCTGTGCCTTTGCAAGTAAGGAAGGTATGTAAGTGTGACCAGGTATGTTAGTGTAACTAGCCTATTGATTTTTTCACTTGCCATTACTTCTAAGCAATAATGTGATTATTTAGTAGAATGTATGCGGAATTTCCTTGAGGAGTTTTTAGATATGCATAAAGACATTTTTGGGGGTATTGTTTTCAGTCATATGTGTAAAATATATAATCATAGTTGAGGTAATAAACACTGCATAATATTGAAGGCAGTCATGGTGAGATAGGTCAAAAACAACTCTAGGTTTTCCCCAAATTAGCATGCTGCTTTTTGCTTTCCTGTAATTTCTTTAACGTATAGATTTATGGTCACTCTGATGATGATCAATAGGTGTCAGCAGAGCTGCATCCTGTAAACTAGCTGTTTAAAGACGTGCATTAAATATTTATTTTGAAAATCAGACTCTTTTTCTCAGAGATTAATTTTGTTGGGGGGTTTTGTTTGTTTTTGCAACTTCTCTCTTTTACCCAATTCTGTCAGTTATGATGGTTACATGCCAAAGAGAAAAAATGCTACTAGTTCTCTACTCTGTGATTCTTCTTACGTGTTTTGATTGCTGTGGTGTAGCCAAATACATTGGAGAGGCATGAAAAAATTGGAATAAGTGCAACATTATAGATATTTTGTTTGGCAGTCCTCGGAATTAGACTGTCTGAAGTTTCTCATAGCTTGAAAGTAAAGGGATGATGTGCATTGAGATAGTTAACATTTACTCATGGCTGTTCTAAATGTTTTCACAGAAAAGTAATTTCAACTTCTGGTTAAAAGTTCTGTTTTCCTAGAACACTTTAAAAGACTTCTAATGAAAACAAAAAAACCAAAGAAACTATGTTTTGTAGCTTGTTGAGCTAAATTTAACTTGTTGAATTAAATCTGATTTTGGTTTGGTTTCTTCATTCCTGTTTATTACGCAATTTTAACTCTCAAAAACTCAGCTGCCGTCTGGCCTTTTCTTCTACCCACCTTTCCCTCACAGATTTATTACAAGAAAGAGTTGCCATTTTCCACCCTCTCTCCTGGTTAGTCAGAAGTGGAGATAACTGCCGTTGAGTTTGTTTCAGGAGAGGTGGTAAAGAAAGTTCTGCAAGAGGTCTATTTCTTAATCTCTTGGCACCTCTGGGGTTTGGGGACTCCCTCCTGGAGGTCCCAGGTCCTGCATCCAGCTCACTTGCTGGCGGATCTGTCCCCATGATGGGAAAAGAGGTCAGGTTCTGTGGCTGATCATCTTGCTTTTGATTTGTTGAGCATTTTAGTGCTTTGATGTTATTCTGCCAGATAGATGAATCAGCCCCTCATTACTATTTTTAAACAATCCAAAATGAAACTTTGCAATAAAGGCACATTGCTGGTTTTTATTTTTTTAATATAAACATTTGTATTTGTTTTAGATGGGAAAATCTATGATGCATATGTCGTGTACGCAAAAAACAGTGGAGGCAGAAGCTTCTGTCAGCTGGAAACCTTTGTTCACAGAATACTCCCTGATGTTTTAGAACAACAATGTGGATATAATCTCTTTATATTAGGAAGGGATGATTTACCGGGAGAAGGTATGCTTTAATTAGTAGAGTTAATAGGTTGTCTTTTGACACATTGTTCTTGGGTTAGAAGATTGTGTATACAATTAAAAAACACCTATTTTCTGGAAACAAAGATATATTTGTTTATTTCTAATGGATAATTTGTCCAATGGATTTATTTTATTTTAAATTTTTTTTGGCATCTTTTGAAAAATCCTGTTCTGATGTTATGAGGGTCTGCGCTTTCTTTTTTGTGATGAACAAATGAGGATTCAGCAGCATTAATAATATTCTTGAGGTTCTTTGAATGATACCTGCTCCTGGGGACTGAAGAAAATAATTTTTATCAGCAATTTCATGCAATGGATCATGAATCATGAATGACAGTTGGGAGATCTTAAACTTACCAGTCCTCTCAGCTAGCCACTGTTCCATATATATGCAATTTTAAAATTAAGAAATATTTGACATCAGTTGTAAAGTTTCTATGCAAACTTTAATTGTTCCTTCATTACTTACAGCTCTGCTCAGTGTTGCTGATGAAACCCTTAAGCAAAGCAGAAGACTGATGATTATTTTGGGATCAGAAACATGTAGTTGCTGCCTGTTAGAAGACACCTCTGAACAGCAACTAGCTATGTATAATGCACTCATCCGTGATGGGATTCAAGTGATTCTTATAGAAATGGATGAAATACAGGACTACACAAGCATGCCAGAGTCAATCAAATACATTAAGCAAAAACATGGAGCTATCCGATGGAAAGGGGACTTCTCAGAGGAATCTTGTTCAGCAAATACAAGATTCTGGAAAAATGTTCGCTATCAAATGCCATCCAGGAAAAAGGTATCTTATTCTGAAGTGTATTTGTTGCCCCTAACTTTGAGTAATTCTGCAGAAAAGGGAAGTTAAGGTGCACTTATTAAAAATAATACTGAGAAAGTAATTCTGAAATGTGGGGGTTTTTTACATAAATTCTTTCTATTACAAAGTAAATGCTTTCTTCAAGGAGTAAAAACTACTCATCCCTTCCCCAAATTACACCCTAAAAGAAAAACTTGTGCAATTTTATTTCTGTTCTAGGTTTTGGGTAGTGATACAATTTGCTGTGTTAGTCACACAGATATGAGAAGTAAACGTTGCTGATGGTGGTAGACTATAAAATAGTTAGCATCCACATAAATGTAATACCCACTGAAGAAGAAGCTGTGAAGCCCACTTTTTAAAATTGAAACTACAGTTGATAAATTAAAAGTCTGTTTCTGCTGTTAGCATTTTCCTAGTCTGTCTGTTCCTCTTCTTGTTGCCTCTCCGTGATTGTCTGACTCCCTCATTACTGCAAGAATCTGCACTGTGCAAGCTTTGGGGACCCCTCCTGAGCGACATGCCTTATCATTGCTTCTTGAAGAGGTTGAGAAAATACATGATATAGCAGGTATATTTAAAAGTCCTCACAACACTAAATGTGTTTCAGCTGAACAATTGGTACCAAATGTGTTCAGCAAATGGAATGGAATCCGTGCCTTTTTAGACATTTGTTGAATAATGCTGTGATATCTGGTCTATGGGGTGTTTCTAAACTTAGTCTCTTGAAAACATCAGGAAACTGAAAATATTTCAGATTTCTTGCAAACTGGAAGCTTTCTAGACTGTGCTGCTACTCTGGAAACCAGGTGTTCTCATTCCGTTTCTCAGCTGTGCTAACTACAAGCATAGAAATTCACTGAGGATCTATTAAAGGACTGAGCTTGGGCTGGGTATCCTGGAGAGAGTGGAAAATGGCCAGTTCTGAAACTTGACTAAGTGCTAATGGCAAGAAATAACATCTTGTCTACTTGTGAAAGAAAAAAAATTGGAGTCATGTGACTATATCGACCTGCTTGGGAGTAGCTTGGTATTTCTGGACCCCCAATCCATTGTTTGGTGTGCATCAGCATGAGAAAACGACATGCTGCTTCCTTTTCAAGGTGGTCCGAATTGGTAAGAGTTTTCACCCTCCAGCCTTGAAGAGCATCATCTGAATGCAAATGTGAATTCTGCTTGCTTTTTTGGTTCTTTTCTGAAGTAGGTTCTTAGGTTATCTTTATTGCCAGGATAGCATCTATCACTGAATTCCTTTCAGCTGGTTCTCGGATGCATGTATGCTGTATATTCTTCGTTGGGCTGTACTGATGGAAGAGAAAGCAAGGTCCAGGAGTAGAACATAAGTTTAAAGCGAAAGGTTTGCATTAGCATTTCCTGGTACCTTTTTCTTTGAGAAGGTCTAACAATACTCCTTATGAGCAGTGTCTCATTCTCCTGGCTGTGGGCTTCACAGCTGTGTAAGTTTCCACAGCATCCACTGACTAGAGACTTCTGAGATGTCACCACGAAAACTGAGAACAGGGTAGATCCATCAGATGAGGTACTATTGTTCTAGTAGATGTTGAATCAGTCTTCTCTGGAAATGCATAACATTCAGGCTGGAACCTTGAAAAAATAAATTTAGGAACCTAGAGAGTTTAGATAATCATTATTGTCAATTTTTTACATTGTCTTAGACTTAGACTTGCTCAGAAAAGTGTTGAAAACTAGACTTTCCTTCAAAGATTTTGTCTTCACTTGCATTTAAAACCAGAACCCTCTTACTTCCGTGTAGAATGAGAGAAATAATAAAGAAAAGATGTTCAAACTGTGGTAGATTTTTTTTTTTCAACTTCCAAATTTGATGTGCTTTGAAATGAAAAAACCAATGACTCTAGGATTTGCAGTACTACAGGTAGGTACATTGATTTGCATGGAGTTGTGCTGGTATTTTTTGTTTTGTCTGTGAACGTGCCATTATAATTTCTGGCCCCTTTTTTCATAGTTCTTTTCAGAGGTTTGCTACAATAGTTAAGCATTTTCCCACTAAACAAGACTCTTAACAACTCTTAAGTGAAGACAGATGAATGTGAGTCAGCATTTATCTACCTGATACTTTCTTTTAAACCACCACATTTAGTATGATTATTTAGGCATTTTAGTTTTATTGTGTGAAAATGAGTGTGGGAGAAAGGTTTCGGTTATTGTGGTTAATTGTTAGCTAACTACTTGAATGTAGCATGACGCGAAGTGGCTTATCCTTTTATCATGAGACTTTATTTTGAAGCTGAATTTTGTCTCTGTTTTCTCCCCTTGGAAACTTTTTTTTTTGCAAGTTGCATAGGAAAACACTCTTGCTTTTGTGGTACAATTAAAGAATTCCCATAGAGACAGATGTGCTTATTGCTCTTTATTTAAAAAAAAATAAACAAAAAAACCTGGTTAGTTGGCCAGAAGTCTGCTTCTGGGAACTTGGTAGCTTCAGAAGGAAAAGGCAAATACTATGTAATCTGTGAAAAAGTATTTGTTCACCACAATGTGGTAGATATATTTCAGTTTATTGTATATCTGTGCTGGCAGAGAAAACAGTCTGAATGTTATGTGGTGTAAGATACATTGAAAGCATTCTCTGCACCATTTTTTACTTTTCAACCATAACCATGTGATACTTCTTCTGTTGGCTTGTTCCTGTCAGTTTATTTGGCACTCCAGATTGCCTCTTCCCTTTCTTGCCTTGTGATTAACTTGGCTCAGATTTTCTAATTCCACTGCATCTTTCCATCCATACTGTGAGGCTAGTTTTTTCTGGGAGACTTCCCTCCTTTCATACTTTTCCTTGCCTTTATGTCAGCCAGTGCCGAGATACAGCCTGTTTCATGTTTCACATGTGTGAACACATCTGTGACTGTATTAATTCATGGATAGAGGCTTATGTAATGGGGAAGATCATGTGCTCTGAGCCCAAACCCAGAACGAGTTGTTACAGCCTGGTGGAGTCTATGTGATGGCCCCAGGCAGGACAGCCCTGACTGACTTTTTTTTTTTTTTTTTTTTTCCCCTTTTAATTTACCTCTGTAAATTGCATCCTAGCAGGTAGAAAAGCGCAAAGGTGATTTCACATTTTGCCTTTGTCTTGCTGTCTCGATCTTCTGCTAGAGGGGGAAGCCCATTCTGCCTTTCGTTCAGAGGCTCTAGTGGTTTGACTACTCTACCCCCTTCCATAGCTGCAGTTAGCTTGAAGATGAAGCAGGCAGAAAACAGTTAATGTTTATAAAAGTCTGGGCTAAGGAGAGACATTTTTTCCCTAGAAATACTTAAGCATGTATTACATTGTAGAGCTTCAGAATACATGTAAATAAAATCAGTGGCTAGCAGCTTTATTCCGGAGTGCTCGCAGGTGTCTGGTTTAGTCATAGATGCTATAATGCATGGACACAGGAGCGGTAGTTTCCTCCTGTCATCCCTACTCTCATTATTCCTGAGGGTAAAGGCAAAGTGCACTGGTTGACGTGTACGCTTGTTCTCTTTTAAGATGGGATAATATTAACCAGGACTTGATGGACTTGTCGAGACAAACTGGACATTAGTCACTAAAAGTGAGCTAGAAAGTCGTACAAACCAGTTGTGTCCTCAGCCTGCTCTAAGATTGCTTCCCATGTTGAAATCGATTGGAAACAGGAGTCTGATGTCCGCTGGGCATCAGGTGGCACAGTTAAAAAGTACAGCTCGTGTGTGACTTCCTCTGAGAGAGCACCCAGGTTACTGTGGCGTTACAGCCGGAGCTAGAGCTCTGCTTGGCTATGACAGTGACTATCAAGGTTAGTATTTCACCCTGAAGAAAGGTAGAAGGCTCACCAAGTCATTAAGGTGAATTTTCTGCTCCAGGAAGGTTGGGTTTGAATTGCTGCTCCAGATCAGGTGACTTAGATGTGTAAATTCTTTTTCTGGTTCATTTTTGCCCCCAGCCACTCATTTGATCCTGCTCTACGTGGTTTTTTGAGCACAGCGGTGGCTGTTAGCAGAAGGGGAGTTTTGGACATTGTTTCATTAGGGTTGGTTTTTTTTTTTTTTCCCACTAAGCAGTTTCCCTGATGGGCTTTATTTCTGTTGGCAGTTATTAAAATATGTGCTATCTCTTTCCTTTATCTCACCAGCAATACGTTATCGGGGAGTGCTTCCTTTTCCTGCACTGCCCACGGTAACACACCCTGGTGCTGTCACACCTCTCCTCCAATCTCTAATGCCAATTTTGATCTTTTGCACTTTCTTGCTCAGTTTATACACTGTGAATATATACTAATTCCCTCGGAGATAAGAAGGGCCATGTTCAAGTCCTTAAGACTGTATTTTTTCTCTCTTTGAGCACATAGTTTCTAATACTGCTACTGTTCGTTTGTTTTCTATTTTTCAAATATGTGTAACTAAGTATTTCTTTTGTGGGTGGAAGTGGGTGTCTTGGACAAGCAGTTGGATTTGGAAAGAAATTCAAGCTACCTACACTTGTCCTACCTCTCACTCCTAGGGAAGCACACTCAGACTGTATCAACTAGGTCTGTACTTTCTGGGTAAGGTGTGCCACAACCACATCCTTTCAAATGGAGCATAGGAGAAGTGGCAGGACAAATGCATCTTCATAGGAGTAAAGAAGTTACAGACAGGTAAAGGAGGTTATGTATTCTCCCACTTCTAAATGGTGAACAAGCAGGATATTTGGGAGTTATAAGAAATAAGATTCATCTGTCCCTTTAAAACAGAAAAAAAGAAATTGGCAGTTAACTCCCCTACATATTGCCTACAGGAACAAAGAGTGAAAAAGCTAAAGAGCTGTCTTGACAGGGACACTCACAGTAGGAAAGAACTTGTGTGCCATATGTCCCCCTGCCATCTGTGTACGCTCTCTTCTGGGTCGTGACATCTGGTTCTGCTTGATACCTGGCTCAGATTCCTGTATTTTTAGAGTAAACGGGACTTGCTTCTCCTCAGAGACTGAAGAGAATAGAACACATGCCGACTTCTGCAAGAAAAGCCAAGTTTTTCAGAAAAATATGTCTCCTCAGCCTAGATCTGAATGGCTTGATACATGTATGTATTTAAGCGAGCCAAGGATGTGCCAGCACCGTCTGCTGCCACTTTTTAAAAACCGCTAACTTTGGCATGTGTGACATTTTTGGAGGGATGGGCCATCTAGTTAGTTGGGTACCTAATTTAGGAGATGAACTAGCTTATTACTGAGGAAAGGGTCGCGTCCAAAAGAGCAAACAGCGTGAGGGTGGGAGGAGATCAGGGGTGCCAGGGCGAGGGCTGGTGAGGGACTAATAACATCTGCAATAGGAAGTGGCTGTGGGGATCCCAAAACCCCATGGCAGT